TGCCACGGCGGCCGCCTCCCTCCATGGGCGTGGCCAACGCCGCAGGGTCCTCTGAAGCCTCGGACTCTTCTCCGAAGAGGGAGATGAGGACGTGTAAGATCAAGCCGCCGGCCACGAAGATCATGGCGGCGGCGCGGCGGTCCAACATCCTTTCACTCAGTGACAGGACCCTTCCCTCCTCGGTCAACACGACCAGGACGAGAAAGGTGGCGCAGAGCAAGGGAATACCATGCTCCACCCGGAACACTTCGTCGGCCAGGGCGTACAGAACGCCAAGGTAGGAGCTGGCGTCTTTCTTCTCCTCCCCTTTGCCCTCCCTCCCCGCCACGGGAATCGAGTCCTCCACTGCCGTGATGTCCAGAACGAGCTCTGCCCCGACCACTGCCCCCCCACTCCCTCCCCGGAAGCAAAGCTTGAGCTTTTTCCTTTCGGCGTCTTCGCCAGCGCCCTCCACATGGGCCAGGACGTCCGAACCCTTGGCGGTCACACAGGCTCCACTGACCAGCGTCAGGGTCAGCTCGTCGTCGCCTTGGAGGGGCGGCAACGGCAAGCGCTTTTCATACTCGACATGCCGACAAAGGACCACCTCCTTCCCACGCGCCTCCTTTCCGTCCTCTGAGACATTGCATGAGTGCGTTAGGAACAGGATACGGGGCCGCGTGATCCCGTCCCCCTCACCCTCTACGGTGTGGATGAAGGAGAGTCCGGAGAGAGTCTCCCGCCGGTAGAGATAACGGGAACGGATGGCTGTCTGGATACAATGCAGCCACTTCGTCGCCTCCTCTTGGGTGGAAACATAAAAGATTCGGCGATCACCGCCCTCCAACAAGATGTAGAAAGACTTGTCATCCCCCTTGTAGTGATCTGTCTCCTTTATGTCGGCCAGGGCAGCCGAACCCCTTTCCTCGCCGAACAGGTCGACGCCCTTTTCGCGCTTGAACCTTGAAAACATACAAGGGGTTGTCAAATGATGAGGCTATATCGTCGACGTTTTTTAAACGTACATTCAAGAATGAACACCTACACATACCAGTGCAGAGACTGGTGAGTCGCAACCAAAAAACGGTGTCGCCTCTTGGGCAAGTACGCGTCGGGGTCCAATTTTTCCACATAGCCCGTCATTAAGACACCCTATTTTGCAACGCATGAGTCAATTGGCGAAAAAGATGTTCATTATGTCGGTTATGGTAAGACCCCACCGACACAAAGACCGTGCTGGACTTACCAAAGCACATGCGGGCTTGCGGAAATAAGGAACGTGCGTACTTCCCCCAAGCGACCCAGAACGTTGGATGATTGTCGGCACTGACATGGTCAAGTGCCTATTGCGCCCTACACTTGAGTACCTGTGGAGCAGTGGTCACGAGCGGATTAGGCGTTGAATCTACCTGGTCGACGTTGAGCGCTGAGTATTCTACGTCCTCCGCCGATATTTTGGCTGTCCTTCCACACCACCAAGGCTGACAGTGCATTTTTTTTCATCTCTTTTTCGACATAGTGTCCACCATGCCTCACGGCAAGCGTGGCGCCCAGCACACTGGCCCGCTTCTCGACGAAGGGCGGTTTGGGCGAGGGCGGGGCGAGGAGTCAACGGTCTCGGATGTGATGGAAAAGGTACCCTCGCTTGCCACCCTCCAACCTCTCGGCCATCCCGCCTGACACGACGCGCCGTCTTTGCGCATTACCACAGGTGTAGTCCTCGAAGACAATGGCAGAGTCAGTGGCATCTGGGCCCTGCATCGGTATCTTGGCTTTGCAAGGGGCTTTTGAGGAGCATCGCAAAATTGTTCAGGAACTTGGGGCGCGAACGGTCGAGGTGAGAGTCAGGATGGTATATATTTTGACACCGTATCATGCCCAAACTCCTGATGAGGGCTTTGAGGTATCATTTTGATAATATTTCCTCAGTCATTACATATTCCCAGCGCGTCGAGGTCATTAACATACTCGAAATTCTCAATATAAGCCATAGCTGGCATAATAGCTTGACGCATCTGTGGAAGTAAATGCAGTAATACCCTTAATCTCAAATAAAATTAGGTCAGGCTTCCAGACGATTTAGATAAGAATCTTGATGGACTAATAATTCCTGGTACGTCATCTGCTTTCATGATTTACTTCTACTGATGTGTTGTCTATGCTCACTCATCATGTTCCTTTTCTACATTGGTATGAAGGCGGGGAGAGCACGGCCATGGCCATTGTTGGGGAGCGTCATGGCATTTTCCCGAAGCTCAAAGCATTTGTACAGGGAGGGAAACCGATATGGGGCACATGCGCCGGTATGATTTTGTTGTCCAACCGGGCCATCATGCAAAAAGCAGGAGGGCAACCTTTGATAGGCGGTCTGGACGTGGAAGTTTGCCGCAACTTCTTTGGGAGCCAGGTAGGGCGAGGACAGGACACGGCTGATGCGAAGGAACCGTCATGTCAATCCTTACCTTGCCCAACAATCACACGAAGGTATCCAGCTTTGAGGTCTTGCTGCAGCTGGAAGGGGCTGCGGCGGCTGGTAGCCTCGGGTCGCGCGGTCCCGTGTCGGCAGTCTTTATCCGGGCTCCCGCCATCCTAGAGGTGCGTCGAGATGTCAAGCGCCTTAAGCGTTGACGACGTGAGGAGACGGCCGGGTAAGCCTGTGGAATGGTTTTATTTTCACAATGAGCGACATACTTTCTGGTTTTCCCCCGATTAGGCCGGTCCGGGTGTGGAGGTATTGGCCAGGGTGAAAGCTACCCCATGCGCTCAAGCCCGGCATTGTGTGGAGGAAGTCTACAGGGAACAGCAAAAGCAGCGAGAGGAGCTGCTTCAGCGTGAGGGCAGGCCATCGGCCCCGTCACCACTGGTGCCAACCGCCGCGTCGGAGGATGGAGCCAGAGGAAGGGGGCGATCGGGGGGCGAGAAGACATGCATGGAGAGGGAGGAGGACGGGCGGATGGAGGTGGTAGTGGCTGTACAGCAAGGTCACTTGTTGGCTACGGCGTTTCATCCGGAGCTGACGCCCGAACGCTGGTGGCACCAATATTTTATGTCCATGTGTAGTCAGCAGGCGCAGACCGCGTCAAAGAAATAGAACCATTGCAGAAGGGGGGGCTGCATTGACAAAAGCAGCTACATTTTTGAATGAGTGATGAGGCATCGACTCCAATTGGATTGGCTTTCGATCCTCCGTGTGAGGTGGTAGGCGGGCCAAGCCCTACGGAGTTCGAGTGAGCGGTAACGCGTGCTCTAGAAAGAAAGAAGACATTCTCGAAATCGGATGGACGTGGAGGCAACCCATATTCCTGGTCCTTTACCCCACCCCCCAGACAGACTGGAGAGATCGCGGTCGGCCGGTTGGACGGCAACCACGGAGTGAGTGTCCTCCACCCCGCGGGTGAGTCGCCGGGAGGAGCTCTGGGACCCCCGCCTGGTCACATCCTCCGGCGATCACGCACAGGCCTTAGAAAACTCAAGGCGTGCGCAGAAACTGTTCATTATCGGACTCGTCATGGCTGATTACTGGAAATCGACGGTGCGCGACGGGAGGGCGCTACAGGCCTTAGTCCCCCTTCTGTCTGCCCCCCCTGATCTCTGTTTCCTTCTCTCTCCCTTCAGCCTAAGCACTGCTGCAAGTTCTGCAATGTGTGGATGGACGACAACAAGACCTCCCGGCGCCTGCACGAAGGAGGCGCCCGGCACAAGCAGGCGGTGGAAGAGTTTTTCAAGGCGCAGAGAGAAGCGAAGCGGCAAGGGTCCATTGGAGATGGCGAGCTGAGCAAGGAGCTGCGTGAGATTGAAAAGGCAGCCCAGGCGCAAGCGGAGAAGGATGCAGCCATGTTCAAAAGTAGTGGTATTCTCGTCTAAAGAGAGACGAGGAGGGTAGAG